CTTGTTGTTGCAAAGTGGCGCTCTTCTTTGTTTACCAGTTAGAATTTGACATCAGTCACTTTGTGCGAAAACACAAAGTTGTATTTTTGCTATTGATGTGCAAATTCTAACGGCAGGAAATTTGAAGATAATTTTAAATATTGGAAAATAATTCTTAATTAAACATTCTCCGCCACCTTGGAACATCTAGCGATGTTACAAGTTAAAATACTTATTATCTAGTTACATGTATAAGATCAAGGGTAGCACCGTCAATATGAGCATATTTTCCAATTCATTTTTGAAGGGCACTTGGACTAACTACTGGAGGACTTAGTGCAATCTCCCGGATAGGAGTGGCCTCCATTGATTCGACCTCATTTTTTTGAATATTGATAATTATTAATAATGTTTCTTAAAAGTTGGAGCTTTTTTTCGCTGAAATTGTCGCCAATAATTTGGATAATATTTTGATGTAGAGGTGGATTTGTGCCTTGCTTCGTAAACTGTGCCCGAAATAGTTGTAGAATATACCCTGACATGAGAACTAGGAACTGGGCCTGTAATAATCCACCCGAAAATCGTATCCTGTGCAAATAATGTACCTGAGATATTGATATGAGTGCCTGGTAGTAGTATCTTTGGATAAAGATCTGCATCTATCAACATATCTACAGGTCTGCAGTCGAATAACTGCGTATCTGTCAAACGAATATTTGGCATCCGAGAAGCAAATTCTGAAGTTACAGAAAACGAAGGCAAATTTCCTGAAATACTTGGAACAACAAACGCCGTTGAGGGCAATAACAGCGATTTGTCAATTGGGGAACCAATGGTAATAAAACACATCTTCCTAGAAGTAGTGAAAACAGTCTGATTTACACCTGAAATCCTAGCTATTGTGGACTGAGTTGCTATGCCTATTTGACGCTGTAGTTTTTCTGTGATGAAGGAAGCTTCAGACGCAGGATCAATAAGGGCACGAACGGGATATGTGACAACATTGTGTATAATGTGAACGATAGCTGTTCCTAATAAGACACTCCTATTATGGGAAACATGGAATACCTGCCTACTGGTAGCACCAGAAGTTAAAACAGGCGAAGTTGTTGGGTTATTTGAACTAGAAGTGGGAGATGAATGTGGGGCTGAAGCTAAATGTGAAAGAGGTTGTGACGGAGTCACTGGTCTGGAAGGACTGGATATTTCACGATGAAGAAGTGTGTGATGCCGCTTATTACACTTCCCACAACTATGCTTGCTTACACAATTTCTTACTTCATGACCGACAGCTAAACAATTCAAGCAACAATTGTATCGTCGATGAACAGAATAACGACCCTCAACTGCTAATTTTAGAAAATCTTGGCACAAACGCAATGGATGTATAACGTTAGGACATAATACACAGTAATTGCCCGTAGAAGTACGTGCTGGATTGGAAGGGACCGATTTGGAGAAATGTGCCCGAACCTTCTTTTCAACCTTTGCAGAGGAGTCAATACCACGAATATCTTTTAGACACGTAAGTGTCTGAATTCTCTCTGAAAGAAAGCAATCTAAATCTTTCCAAGATGACAATGCCGACTTACTTTTAACCGTTTGTTCCCATAACGTGACTGTAATTTTAGGCAACCTTTGTATACAAATAAATACAAGTATGGGATCCCAATCGCTCGTAGAAACTTCATAGATCGCCATAGCAGCAATACACCCATTTATTGCTCTTTGAATCACTATCAATCACCGGAATATCAAATAACAACTTTAATTGGTTATTGACAAGTATTCGAACATTATCATAGGTTTCCTTAAGAGCCTTCCATGCTAAGTTGAAACTTTTATGGGTCAATGGGAACTTTGAAACTATATATCTAGATTCACCACTTGTTTTCTTTAGTAAATGACATAATTTTTCAATGTCACTTAACCTATTATTAATAAATACGGCGGAAAATAAGTCCCGGAAAGTTGGCCACGGAAGAAAATCGCCATTGAACACATCGATATCACAGGGCGGCAAATTCATGGAATGCGAACTATTATCATTAATGATACCAGAAACGTCAGCTGCTGCTTCAGCTGGAAAAGAAATTTGAGAAATAGACAGAACTTCCTTTACACCCTGGCGAGGAGAACTTGCCATATTTGGCACATTTGAAACAGCAGATGTCTTTGGTTGAGGACGTAATTCATCTAGCTTTCTATTAATTAAGGCAAGGCTACGAATATAGGCTCTAAAAACAGTCCGGTTTTTCGCTTCTGCTGATGTGAAGTCATCTGGATCACCCTCGTCACGAGTTTGCAAATGAGTAAGGCATTTATCAAACATTTCTTTCGCCTTAGACCACATTTCAATAACTTCAGCAGCTTGTATTTCTTATGCATAAATATCAAAATCTTCATCTTGGAGAGAATCGAGGTTAGCATCGAATTTGATCAGAGCATCAGCAGCTCGAATGAAGAAATCTAGTGGAGTAAGCGACATTGTAGGAAAATTATATATGAAACTTTCAACTTCAAACAATAGCAAATATCAAAAATTGAGAAAAACCCAAATTTAAATTGAATAAAACTTGAAAAAACTCAATAAACTTCACGAAATTCTATATTAGAATCCAAAATCTCAACTTGCAAACAAAAGGTTTCGAAGAAAACCAATAAAAAAATATGAAAATGTTTTCAAGAAATCCGAAATATTCTTAAGATTTTATAAAAAATACCAAATACCAAAATATTGTATTGAAAAAATACAATAAACTCAAAAAATATGCAAAAAATAATCAAACGTATTTTTCCCAGTGTATGAAAAATCACTAAATTTTTCTATGAGTACTAAATTTCGTTAAGTGTATTGAATAATACACTAATTACTGTATTCCGTAAGAAAAACCAACAATTTATAAATAAATTTCCAAAAATATTTCAAAGAAAATAAAGAAAATTCAAATTAATCAAAAATGTTGACCGAATGTAGGGTGCATAGACTGTAAAATGCACTTCGAGGTCCAACAACAACAAATTTTCCCAGAAAATATTAAGTAGAACAAATTATATTCAAATGGTATATTGTAATATGTAGGCAATAAGAAAATGTTCAAAATTTTATTTTCCGTTATATGTAGGGTGCACCGTAGGTCGACCTTATAAATTGATTTTCAAACTGTTCAAAAATTTTTACCATAAATCGCGAAAAAAAAATTCAATAAAAAATTTTTATTTTAATTTACCAAACTTTTTCAGCGGTCTTCGTACGTTGACTTAGTAACCGGCCCTCGAAATTACGATATAAGTGTGCGTGCGTGTGTGTGAATAATCGTTCAACGATAAACAGCCAAGCAGTGATAGTTGTTGTTACAACCACTCAACAGTTGGTGACTAGGAAATTTGTTAGTGTTTTTATTCCTTCTTTTCTCTATTCTTTTTAAACTTTGGACTGTTGTAATTTGGATAAAAACACTAACAACAATAGGAATATTATTTGAAACGAAATTATGACACCAACAACTATCACTGAGAGGTTCACTGCACTTTTTGTTTCGTTTATTTTTTTTTTTTTTTTGCCGTATTCTCGCTAAATGAGAATATGCACTGAAGTTATTCTTGAAGAGAATAACAACAACAACGCGTGACGGTGTTGTAAGACGGACGTCTGTATGTTTTTGGAATATCACTTGTTTATATTTTGTAAACAAAGAAAAAAAAAACACTCGCGTATGCTCACTAATATTGACGGTACTCATCTTAAACAATCTTATGTGTAATTTAGTAATTGGGGAGGGATGATGATTGGATTGTTGATATCTTCTCGTTGATGTGATGCTGACGGAGTCAGAACGCCTTTGAAAAAATGCAAAAAAAAAACAATTAGTTTTTCTTCTTTGTTGTTGTTGAGGGCCCCAATTCGATTCGGCTCGAATGAACCAATGTTTGCGGAGGCAATAAAAAGAAATGAAACCAAAAGAAAATAAAACAAAAGAATTTTAGTTTTTTCAAATAATAAATAAATTGAGACTTGCAATGAAAATCAGAAAATCCGTTAGGCGAAGGTTTGTTTTTCGGAATATGGTGTGTATATTCTGACAGTACATTTTGAGACCTTTCAATTGATGTGGGTCTCCATACTGCATCCATTTTAGTTTTTGCGCAATATGGCGTTTTCTACACAGAGTCCCCACTTTTTTCCACAACATGGCGTTTTCTACACAGACTCCCCATTGTCACTGGAAAATCGAGAAAATCCGTTTAGCAAAGTTTTTTCTTCGGTATAAGGTGTACTCCAACCTATCTAAATAGGGTTTAATTTCGAAATGTATGGCCAAGCTCTATGAAGATGAGGCCATATGAATTCGGGATGTAGGACCAAATACATTAATTATAGACTAATAATCATCATCATCCAGGGATTTCTCAATAATCTTGGTAATCTCCGTGTCGCGTTTACGTGTTTTTTTATCTTCTGTAGAATTCGAATACGTGCTCTAAAGGACATCATTTATGGACATGTATCTTCAATTCTCCGTTCTCTGTGTTTACTGTCACAGCTCTTACTACTCCATCTTTGCCCTTATGTATACTTGCTTCAACTTGAGATAGATCTTTCTTCATACGTTAAGGTGATGGTTGACTTAACTGCTGCCTCCCAAATTCCTCCGAAGTCAGGAGCTGTCAGCGGAATAAAGTGCCTCTTTATTTGTTCATTTTGCAAAATTGGTGCTAATTTGGTGTTATTTCTGATAGACTCGGCATAATCTTTGCCCAACTGCTATGACGACCCTACGAAGTTCGTTCCGTTATGCAAATAATCTTCACAGTGCTGCCAGGAATGCCTTCATGACAACCCTTCATTGTCAAAATGGGTTTGTAAAAAATACATACCCATTTATCAATAACAAATTGTAAACAAATGTTTCTTCTTCTTTGCCCAACTGCTATGACGACCCTACGAAGTTCGTTCCGTTATGCAAATAATCTTCACAGTGCTGCCAGGAATGCCTTCATGACAACCCTTCATTGTCAAAATGGGTTTGTAAAAAATACATTCCCATTTATCAATCACAAATTGTAAACAAATGTTTCTTCTTGAAACAAATTATTTGTCTATTCTCAAATATTTACAATAATAGTCTCCTATAGAATTGCTGGAAGTGATCATGTAGAGAACATGGAATTCGTCTTACATAGGAGATGTGGAGTTCTTTTAATTAAAGGCCGAGCGATATTTTTTAATTATAGACCAGTTTAAGGTGGTCTTTATAGACCAATAAGTGTTGGAATAGAAGACCTGGAGGTATTCTTTTATATATAAGGTTTTGAGGTTTTACCTTCGGCATCAGGTCACATTCGGTAAGTGCGTTTTCGTTATGAAGCTCTCAATGCACGTAACTAGCTTTGATAAGTATCGAATATCAAAACGAATAACTATCGCAAAGTTTGAAGATTCGGCATTTTAAAGTGGGAGAAGTTCGGCCATATACAGTTTGTGGAATATTATAAAATGTTTTTAGTTTGTCTTTAAAAATAATCCTATAATATGGTTCATATTCGCTCCCAAATTATAAATATAGGTCAATTTTTTCGGATATACCCCATATAAGGGTATTTTGGGGTTGTTGAGCGCGCTTTTCAACTGAATTAGCTTCAATTTGGTATTTTGTAGTCGAATCAGGTAACAAATCTCCACACCAAAAATTATTCATATTCGCCCCGTTTTTGGGGTAGTCCCCATAATCTATTTATATTAAAATAGTTATCTAATTTGTTCCGCGTTTATGGTTTGGTTTTTAGACTCTGTCGTAATCATTTCACCTGCGGAGGATACCAAGATAAAAAGATAGAACGTAAGGTTTGATAATGAACTATAACCATTTAGACCTAGCCCCTGTGTGGGAGGTACCAGAAGGAGAAGACCGATATTCTCCATCTTCGAACTTGAACTAAGTTTGGAAGAAATAACTAAGTTTGGAATTGAACATTGGCCTGCAATTGTAAGGGTACATATGCACAGATTTAATGTAACAGCTCTTAAAATATGTAATCCAAAAATATACATTTACTTGCTGCGTATTAAATAAAAGCTCTAGAACATTTTGTTGCCTGTGGGCAACATTGGGCCATAAAGGAATTAACAACTTACTCAAATGTTAAATTAAAATCAAGTTGTTAAAAATTTGAGGATATAGCAAATCCGATTACAACATTTCACGATTTAGAGTTAAGATATAAAATAGGCATTTACAATTAAAAGACGGTCTACGTCGTCAACATTGGCCAAACTCTTCCCCCATAACTGTCAAAAACTATTTATAAAATACAGTATTTTTCGGTTAATTGATCCTACGGTTTATTGGTTTCGACGCTTAATTGAACAACATGATGGGGCAAAAAATATTTCATAGGAAAATAAATGTAAATTTTCTCGGATAATTAAACCCTGTTAATTGACTTTCCCGCTTTTTTGGTTTAAAATTCATGTCATCAAAAATAAATTTCCTTTTAATTTTCCCCAGTTAATTGCAAAATAATAATTGAAAAATAATCTGGCATTTTTTACATACATATTTGACATAATTTCTGAAAAATACTAGGTGGCCTCTCTACTAATTCAAAATATATGTTTATTGCTAGTTCCAATTATACGTGCTTACTGTAATTGAACAAACTATTCAATTAAGCGGGTTCGGATAATTGGTTCCTCGCTTAATTGAATAAAAATTTGTGCAAATTTTGATTTGCAATTAACCGAAAAATACTGTATATAGCAAACATATACAAATCTAAAACGGCAATCTGAAAACTAATTAACAATGTATTTAAAAATGAAATATACCTATAACTGAGCGAAAACCACTAAATTTCTATGCCAAATCCAAAATTGTTCGAGTTATATACTGATTTCAATATAAAAATCAAAAGAACAGTTGGACATGAACAAAATGTCATTGTAATTAAGAATCCTTCATGAAGGGACAGATAAGATAATGAAAAAACGTTGGAGCAATAACAAAACATGATCTTCTATTAAAAAACATTTGTTATGTGCTTGGGCCTGCATTGGGATACCAGTTAATACTTTTTATTGACATAAAATTAGTGGCAAATGTTTTTTACCAACCATATATTGATGCAATATTGATAAGGCAAAACAACGTTTGCTGACTCAGCTAGTATACTACATTTTTGTTAGAACACTACTCTTTATACTAAGTGGAAACACAAACTGTTCTCAATTTGTGTAGTCTATGTATTTTATAATGTCATTGGCCATAATGAAATATATATTTTTTCAGATGGGGCATTGGTGTACAGAAGAATGTCATACTTTGCACAGGACCATTCATCTTCTTTGGAAGCAATTAAAGAATTTTTGTACAAAAATTCTTTTGTAAATAGATTTGCTTTATTTCAGTGTACATCAATTTTCCTTAACAGACATTATATTGATGAGGCTGTTAGCAAGTTTCGAAGCAGTTCATGTGTCTTCGCAGTAAAAAGGTAAATAGAGCTTTAAATTATTCTTAATAACTTGTAAATTTTAACTTTTGCATTGGACTAAATTTTTTTATTCTTACTGCGACTGGTTTCATTTAACGAATTTAAAGTATTGTAATTTATAATGTACAGACAACATTAACATCAAGCTTTCAAGCATGATTCTAGGAAGTAATCCGCTTTTTTAGTATGGTCACAGTGTCACTTACTGTTTTCAGTTACATACGTATGTTTATTACTCTGTTGCCCTTGTTCCCCTTGCGTATTGCTGGTATGATGCAACAACATATTATGCACACATATGCCTTTTTTATACCCTCCACCCAAAAATCGGAGTGTACATTTTTAAAAAAAAAGAGCTCTGAAATTTTGCACAGACGTTGCTAGTTCTCCTAGGATGTTTGGTACTGGAAATGGGATATATCGGTCCACGTTAGTCCCAATATAACGGTACTCTTAATATTCGGTGTTTTGGGAATTTTGGAGACGTTTGCAACCGAATTGACTGTAATTTTGTATTTTGGGTTCTCATTCAATAGCACATGTCCGCACCAAAAATTATATATATATATATATATGTTTAGGCGATTCTTGATGGGTGAAGTGTTTGTTTTTATTATATAGCATATCTCCATACTGAACATTATTAATATTGACCCATGTTTCATATATACGGTACCTCCCAATATTCGGTATTTTGGCTCTAATTTTGTATTTAGGGTTTTCATTGTAAAGCACATACTTGTACTAAAAATTATTATTGAACCAAGTTTAATTGTAGCCCACTATATCGGTACCCCCATAATATATATATATATATAAAGCTAGAAGCTTGAAATTTTGAGTGTGGGTTGTTGTTGGTGTGTAAGCGTGAGATAAGGCTGGGTTTTTGGAAATTCGAAACGGTACGAAAAGTACTAAACTGTATCAAATATGGTACCCTTTGTATTATGCGGACGGGAAGAGCTAGAATTTGATTTGATATTTGGAATGTGGGTCACTGATGGAAAGTTTGAAAGATGTACAAAAGGGTTTTTGGAAATTCGACCTATAAGTGTACTAAAAGTACTAAACTTTACTAAATTTAGTTCTAATTGTATATATATTGCACATATAAAACTAGAATCTTGAAATTTTTTATGGAATACAGTGGTGTTGATGTATGGAAGTGGTGTTGATGTATGGAAATGGATTAATATATTCTTACTTATGTGTATAAAAAATACTAAATGGTACTAAATTTGGTACTATTTGCATTTTGTTGAGCGTAAAAATATGGAATTCTCAAAATAGGGATTAGGAATACTATTGGAGTAAAAGATTGAGGTAGCTTTAAAAATGTGTATTTAAGTGTACGAAAAGTACTAAATAGTACTAAATTTGGTGCAAGTTGGATTTAGGTGAACAGCTAGAGCTGAAGTCTTCAAATTGGGTATTAAATGATTGTTGGAGTGTAGGATCGAAGTAGTTTAGAAAATTCGTACTTATTGGTACGAAAAGTAATATATGGTACTAACTTAAGTACAATTTGGATTTTGCTTGAAAGGTTAGAACTAAAAACGTGAAATTTAGAATTAAGATTACTGTTGAAGATTGGCCTATAGAGACATCTTTGAGAATTCATATTTATGTGTACAAAAAGTACTAAACGGCACTAGATTTGGTACAATTTGGATGTGGGTGAAGGGAGTAAACTGGAAACCCAAAATTTGGAATAATGATTGCTGTTGGAATCTGAAAGTGTTTTATGCGAGTACCTGCCCATAGGCCTACCTCGCAGTGGCTGGGCCACAGGCGGATATGCGCCCACCAGACCACCAGCGCACCAGCACCAAAGTGCTGTACCAATTGGAGAGCATGCAGAAGGCATAATCTGCCCCGTGGTGAGGGGCGAAACCACAACCCCCGCGAAACTCCCCAGGGGGCCACACAAACTGTCAGGCTGGATCGACAGATCAAGGGGCACCTGACAACCGCGGTACGGAAAACCTCCGCTCAGGCTCGAGACCGAAGCCTCTCCCAGTTCGACACAAGTCCGGGCTGGTATCCCAAAACAAAAATAACAACGGCAACGGCAGCAAATAACCGCTAGTGACAAGGAAGACCTTGCCACAGGCAGTGTCCTCACGGACTGCACAAAGGGCCCAAGGACCGCGACAACGGACATCACAAGACAAACAATCAACGAAACTGCCCTCACGGGCAGCCTACACGACATCCACAACCGCAGAAGTGACTTCCGCGAACCTCCCGCGATGCGGAACTACAGCAGAGCACAGCAGCCACATCTCTCCACCAACAACCGCACCAACGCCAATTGGCGCACAAACCCACCACCACCCGGTGCGACCGACCAAACCCAACTGCAAGGGGGCTATGCACGAGGACCACCTCTGCTAAGTACTGTCCTTCTCCTAAATGCTTCACGAGCAAAACTACTTAAACAACTAATGATCCGATCGTCTACAAGTGCCCTACTGAAATCCCACCCCGCCCCTCCATCTGATATACCCATACTTGCTAAATCTCTAATGTCATAATAGTAACAGCATTCCGTCAGAATATGCTTCCAGTCCTCAGTCATCCCGCACCCACATAAATCCGTCTGGGCAAGGCTTCTCTTATGCAGAAAAGCATTGAGAGAGCCATGTCCCGTCAGTACTTAAGCCGAAGCGAAAGTCTTGTCGGTCCACTACGAACGTGGCGTCACGAATAAATTCGTAACACACCCTCCCTTTGTCACTGTTCCTCCTATCAACTCCACCTATCAACAACACAAACCCGGAGGATTGTGCTGTACCGCCTACTCTCCCCATCCACCAAATCAGAAGGCTTGAGCCAATCATCCTCATCCAACTGCAAACCACGCTTAAGCTTGTACATAATAGCCCTACATCTCACTTCAAGATCAAGCGGCGCGGCGCCAAGCAGCACCTGCAACGCCTCTTTTGAAACAGTACGACACACTGGCAAGCACGCTAACATGACGACCCGCTGAAAGGAACTTCTTCTGCCCAAAGACAGAAGAGGCAGTTCTGTACCATATAGGTGCACCATAAGTTGCGCAGGCAACAAAAAGTTCTGATTCGCACAGAACTCAAGCCCCAATCAGTCCCCAAAACACGCCTGATGGTCCCAACGACCGTTGTCAGCTTCTCTTTCAACCGATCGAAGTGTGGAAGAAAATTCAAACGCTCTGACACTGTTATTCCGAGATATTTAACAGTACACGAATACCTTATGCCGCGTTCACCAGCTCGAATGCAGGGAGGACGGCTGCGTGCCAACCTGCCTTTCAGCAGCATCAGCACCGTCTTCTCGGTAGCCACCTCCACTCCAACTCGGTCACTCCAAGCCTGCACAATCTCCATAGCCTGCTCACCACGATTTTCCAGTTCAAGGCGACTATCCCCTTCAATCATGATGAGCAAGTCATCCGCATATGCACAGACCTTGAAGGAAGCAGTTAACTACCGCAGCAGGGGATCCATCATAATGTTGCATATACATGGACCACAAATGGAACCCTGTGGGCAACCCCGCTGCACATCCCTCCAGACCGAAGCACTGGCTCCCACGACACAAGCCTTCCTATCCCGGAAATAACTTGCCCAAAGAACGATATCCCTACACCCAACCTCTGACATCCTTGTGAGCACGCTATCCCATAAAAGGAATTCAAATGCGCCTTTAGAATCCACAAATATGCCAAGGACATATTTGGAATTTGACCCGCTCAGGCATCTTGCACATGCCACAACTTCTTCCTCGGTAAAACCGATCTGATTCAAGGACGTACCTTCGCTGTAGCTGTCCTTAAGCCGTGCCACCATAATCCTCTCCAGTACCTTTCCAAGCACTGGGAGAAGGCTTATGCCCCGATACGAGCGAGGATCACTCCTAACCCGATCAGGCGACTTAAGTAAGACCACAACTCGGGCACACTTCCAAGTACGCGGGAAGTATCCATGACGAATGCAGCTGGAGAAAACGGACTCGATATATTCCGGCATAACCTTCCAGATGGCTTTCACCATCCTTCCAGTCATACCATCCATACCTGGCGATTTTCTACTTCTAACTCGGCAGATACTGTCCACAACTTCTATACGATCCAAACCCGGAGGCTCCCTCATTTCATCAACAAAAGGAGGAAATGATGGAGTCTCCGAATCTGAAAAGAATGTTCGCAACAAAAGCCCTACGCTCTCCCCCCACCCCGAGGTGGTTGTCGCAGAGCTGCTACGCAACCCCTGTAGGTCAACCTGTCTCTTAGACCCTCCATGCCGGCACACACGGTATACTATACCCCATGGATCATCTCCATTGTCCCGTACGAATCTCCTCCAATTGTCTTCTTTACTCCTAGACAGCTCGTCTTTGTACGTACTAAGAACAGCAAGGAACTCGGATTTTTGCTGCGCTAAATCTTCCGCATTGACACGCCTGGCTCTTTGGAAGCGCCGCCTAAGACGCCTGACTTGCCGCCGCCTGGTAGTTAGCTCGCGGGTCCACCATTTGACCTTACTCGGCTTAGCCTGACGGCGTCTACCGAGGAGTACGTCATTGACGCTGCTCATCCACTCGTTCAACAAGCTAACCTAGTCATCTATGGTCCGTGCCCTAAAGTCCACAAGTGGCAAAGCCAACTCCCTGACACAGTTCGCATAATGGTCCCAGTTCACATCTCGTTCCGTCCAACCCCTGAAACGCTCAGTTCCCTGCGTACGTCCCCTCGGAGTGGCCAAAATCTCAATGAGGTTATGGTCACTCACCCCGGAGGGACCATCAAAGGTATACAGATCCGAGGGCTCATTTAAGATATCGACGCCCCTCGCTAACACCCATTCACTAAGCGCTTCTCCTCGGATGCGATTCCGATGACCAGATGTTGACCTGGTCATCTTGGAGAATCACAGCGAGGAGGTTGCGTTCGCGTCTAGCCCTAGGATTAGCGGACAACTACTCTCGAGGAGTAGTACCGTATCCATATACCTTAAATA